TTATCCATGTATTTAACTACATACATTAGTCATTGTGAAGTCCAGCTTATCCGTGTATTTAACTACATACATTAGAGTCATTGTGAAGTCCAGCTTATCCGTGTATTTAACTACATACATTAGAGCCATTATGAAGTCCAGCTTATCCATGTTTTTAACTACATACATTAGTCATTGTGAAGTCCAGCTTATCCGTGTATTTAACTACATACATTAGAGTCATTGTGAAGTTTAGCTTATCCGTGTATTTAACTACATACATTAGTCATTGTGAAGTCCAGCTTATCCGTGTATTTAACTATATACATTAGTCATTATGAAGTTCAGCTTATCCGTGTATTTAACTACATACATTAGTCATTATGAAGTTCAGCTTATCCGTGTATTTAACTACATACATTAGTCATTGTGAAGTCCAGCTGATCCGTGTATTTAACTACATACATTAGTCATTGTGAAGTCCAGCTGATCCGTGTATTTAACTACATACATTAGAGTCATTGTGAAGTCTAGCTTATCCATGTATTTAACTACATACATTAGTCATTGTGAAGTCCAGCTTATTCGGGTATTTAACTACCTACATGAAAGTCATTATGAAGTCCAGCTTATTCTTGTATTTAACTACATACATTAGTCATTATGAAGTCCAGCTTATCCGTGTATTTAACTACATACATTAGTCATTGTGAAGTCCAGCTTATTCGTGTATTTAACTACATTCATTAGAGTCATTGTGAAGCCCAGCTTATCCATGTATTTAACTACATACATTAGAGTCATTGTGAAGTCCAGCTTATTCATGTATTTAACTATATACATTAGTCATTGTGAAGTCCAGCTTATCCGTGTATTTAACTACATACATTAGAGTCATTGTGAAGTCCAGCTTATCCGTGTATTTAACTACATACATTAGAGTCATTGTGAAGTCCAGCTTATCCATGTATTTAACTACATACATTACTCATTGTGAAGTCCAGCTTATCCATGTATTTAACTATATACATTAGTCATTATGAAGTTCAGCTTATCCGTGTATTTAACTATATACATTAGTCATTATGAAGTTCAGCTTTGTGAAGTCAGCTTATCCGTGTATTTAACTACATACATTTATCCACATGTGCATTATTGTTATTTGTTGTAAGTACTTGGAAAGAGAAGTTAGTATTATCTGAAATGTATATGCAAAGGAAGTTGTTGGTTTTTGTTAACAATAATTACTTTTTTATTAAGAAAGAGATTTAGAATATCAATATGTGTGTGTATTTTGTAAATTTTTGTAAGGTAGATGTATTCCGTAATTTTATCAGTAAATTAAACCGTATTGGATCTGTCTTTTGATAGTGAGAAGTTTTATTATCTTATACAATTTGTACTTAGCTTTTTGAATGAGTAACAATAGTAGAATTGTAATGTTTTTAACAGAAATCCCCCACAAAACAACTTAGTCATTCACTGAGAAAGTCCTTCAGATGTGTGCCAGAAAGACAGGAACATGGAATTCCTAGATTCCCTGATGAGCCAGAGCCTACAATCAATCTCTCACATATTGTGTAAGTATGGAATTAGCTCTGTTTATAAGCGTAATCTCAATTATTAACACATTGTGTCAGAGCATAGAAAATTTAGTGTTTTAAACATCCCAATTTTTCATAATTTCTGAAGTATTTTTTTTAAAAGTATTCTCAACTATTGTTGTGTAAGATGATAATGTTTTGTGGATATCTAAATCTTTCACACATTCTGTAACTACAGAATGTTGTTAGAATATCCTTAGCTTATCAGAGTGTGTAAATATAGACTAAACTGTAAGTTAAGTTTAAACATAAGCTATAAGCTGTGCGTTTTTAATCCTATCTAGACTAACGAGGAGATTTTAAAGCAATGTACTGTACATATAAACTTTCAAAACTTAATTGACAATAATTCTAACCCTGTTTGAATGATTGTTTGCTAAAATATGTTTTAGAATTGGTATCTTGTTATTTTCTGCAGTGTAATTTTCAACTATAACTTTAATTTCTTCACAGCTCCGCACTTCTTGATTTTTAAAAACTTTTCTGTTCATCAAAAACCATAATTTTATATTTTCTAAGAAACTATCATCCCTTAAGAATATAATTCCTAAAGATTTGTTTCCCATGAGCTTGTTCGTCTGTTTCTCTAATTTTATTAGTAGAGCCTACCGTTCACACACTTTAATGACTTCCCATTATTTAACCCTTTCACAATGGGTAGGTCAAGGTATGCATGTCATGACCTTTTAGAGAGTTGCATTCACAATCTATTTAAGCTGCTTTCTTATCAATGTATACAAATAAACTTGGCATCCAAACATACTTAATGAATCAAATTTTAATATCATATAAGGTTTAAGTTCTTTATTTTAAAAAGGAAATATTTAAAAAAAAATCTTTTTCTTACTCTTCCCTAGTATGAGAATCTTGGCATTTGTTCCCAAAGTCTCCCCCCCCCCTTCTCTAAAGTATGGAGTTTAAGTAAATTACTCATTATAGTATATGTATTACTATAGCAGTTTGTATAGTCTTCAATCTTATTTGCTTATGGAGTCGTAAACTAGAAAATTTGACTGATCTGTTACATTCTCTCTCTCTCACAAATTGACAATAATTTTCTTTGACATTTTATACTTTATCATATATAATGATAGACAGAGTTTTAATCTATTATAATGATACATTGTTTTCTCTACAGAGTATTCTCAATTTTGCCTTCAGTTTGAAAGTTTGTCTCCTGGTGTTCAGATCCAGCATCTAAATGAATTACTCTTGTTTTAGTTAAAAATCCAGTTATCAGAAACATCACTGAATTAAATAGTGGATGTTACATAAATTGAAAGGAAACTGAAGATATCAACATACCTCAATTTATTTTGTTGTAAAATCATATTTCATAAAAAACCAACAAGTCAAACCATTTCATTTTTTTCCAGACCAGCTAAATGATTTTGATTTCATATATGATCTGTAATTTCTCTCTAAAGCATGGTTATAACAGTAACTTTTGTTCCCCTTTAAGTTATCGGATGAATATGTCATGTGGCTCCACATTAGTACTGCACTGTGTATTAGCTCACTGTTTGAGGAGGTTGCTTGAGAGAGTATGATGACAAAGTGGTTAGAAGCTTTGAATGTCCCATTAATATCCAGTAGGGTCATCTAATTAGCGACGCGCATGAATGGATTAACGAGATTCCCGCTGTCCCTATCTACTATCTAGCGAAACCACAGCCAAGGGAACGTACATAATTAGAATTGGGCTGATTGTGTGCTGTAATTATTAGCAGTCTGTGATTTCTGATTGTAACATGATTAGTAAAACAGTAATATTGTGTTTTTTTTTGGCTAGTGTAGTCTGCGAAGTTGGATTCAAAAGTGTTTGCCCTAACGTGTACAAATAATGTACATGCAGAAAGGTAGATTCTCCAAACAACTTACAAGTTTGCCTGTTTTTAGCAAGTGTTGACAAAAAATATCTTTTTATGCACATTTTTCAAATGCGTGAACCTTGATGCAGGCTTGGTGTCATATATAAAAAGTAGGATTCTGTAGCATACAAAAAGTTTAAATATTGAACAAAGTGATGACATTCTTATTAATAAAAGAGCATTTACTCTGAGTACGCGGGCATTCATAGTGACGAAATGTGTGGATCGTACATGACTGATGAGTGTTCATAAATTTGGGAAGATCTATTCATGGTTTGTCATAAGTTCTGCTCAATTAAGAAATGCTTCGATCAGTTTACACGAAGTCAAACTTTTAATGGCTCTTTGATTTTAAGGGGCAACACGGGCTACCTAGCAGATACTTTTTAGGGGGCCTATTGGTATTTTTGGGAGGCCATTGGCTACTTGGTCACTGCTAATTTCAATCTACGATTATATAAAAATAGGCTTAAACCGACAGCAAAAAAATACGACATCAAACTAACTGCTATATTTCTTGTTTTTCATGTATATTTTGTACTTATAGTTGTAAAAATAACTAAAATGTAAAAATAAAAAAAATTCTAGGTTATATTAGGTAAGATAGAGAAAAAAATAAAATAAAAATTCTTCTTGAGCAGTTTGTGCATCATGTCATTGAGTATGAGCAATTTACAACTTGTGTGGTGGGATTATTAGTTAGACATGATGTGAAGGGCAATAAAACAATAAGATTAAGTATAAACAGATAAACTGCTATAAGCCTTAAGCTATTTAGGATAAACAGTTGTGGTTTTCTGTTATAATCTACAGTCATTCTTGAAAGAAAGAAAGGGTGATATAGATTTATTTCATATTTCTTAATGGTGGCTACAAGGTTGGTCAAATGACACGCATACATTACAGTTAAGATACAGAAGATAATGGATAAAATGTAAAGTTTTATATTTATTATTTAGGAGGTTTTAGAAACTTTTCAGGTGAAGAAAAGTATTTTTGATCTTAACACGAAAATCACTTTGTACTCAGAGCTGTCAACACACACTGCCTTCATATGTTCATGGACAAATCTTCAGAAAGTGAAAGTACTTAATTTAAAAAAATTGATTTTGTGTGTACAATAGACTTGTAATGTTTACTGAGAGTTTACAAAATTTTGTGAAGATACAGAAAGGTTATAGTATCGAAACTGATGGTTACTTTGTAGCTACGAGGTAGGTTACATTGTCTCCGTATTGACATATGATCAAATAAAGCAAGCTACTTAAATAGATCAGAACTAAATGTAGCAAATTAAATATAATATTCAAACTATATTACTTAAAATTAGTAGAATGCATTCTTTTATCAGTTAAATACCCCTGCTGTTAACAGTATTTTTGGCCATAAACCCAATAATATCTCATGAACTCAGTCAGTCCATGAATCTTAGGTTAGTCATAAATCCATATACTTAGCTAAGAATGCAGAATAATCATTAAAATAAAATAATAAACATTAAATTAGAAATAATTAAAAATATAAGTAGATATATATTAAATATTCTAACCAACAATGTGTATCTGCACTGTTATAGAAGTTTCACTCATTCAAACTGATGTCGAAGTATAAACTACCACTCCGTGATAAAACTTACAATTGGGTTAGCAGCCTAATAGATTTAAAATTAAGCTAACAATTTTTATAATGATAAGAATAAAAATAAAGTAACTTATTAATAAATATAATAATCCATACTGTTAATGAAAATAACCTTAAGAAGAGATAGGGTATAAGTAACTTACTGTTGATGTTGGGAAATAAATAATACTTATTGTCCATAAAATCTGTTAATATCGAGACAGCTACCCACTATCAGAATGGTGTCTTCACTCCTAAGGTATGTCCGAAACTCGTGTCACTCTTGGTTATTCCATTGTAAAATAGTTGAAGGAGGTTACACCCTCCAGGCATCATCTGTTTGCTAGTTGTCTGATTTTACAAAATAAGTTTAATGTAATGAATATGAAATGACTCAGAACAATTGGCAACTAGAGCTAAACAAGATAAGCCAACTTTGTTGAACAACAAGTCATTGTTAAACTGTATATATATATGGAACTGTGCACATGCTGATGGTATGCAAATCAAAGTTTGATAAAACTGAACAACAACAAAGATGTGAAAATATCCACAGGTAAAGTTTAAAACCATTGGTTATAGCTGAGAAACTATTTATATGGATGAAAAGTGAATGAATTGGTGTGTGAAGAGATTGTGGAAAAGTGACAAGACCCGTCCCTTTGAGGGAAGAACAGTTGAATGTAACAGAAAGTATAGAAAACTTAGGAACAAACTATGGATTAGCAAATTTTTTAATTCTTTATTTATTTATTTTTTCCTGAAAATGATTTTGTTTAATGCTTAATGATATTTATTTAAAGGTGATGAACATTTTCTTTTGTGAAAAGGCATCAGGTAAGCCTTACAAGGTTTATAGAGTATTGTAGGTGATGGTACAATATTGTGATGACTCAGATGTGAACTGAATCCTAATTTATTGAATGTTAGTGTTAAGTTTATTGTATTCAAACAATGTAGATAAGTAAAAGAACATATTATTTATCAAAAAGAAATAATATTAACTAGATATAAGTATATTTTAACCCTGAATATTGTTAGCAAAGAAAGTGTTAAGTTCCTGACCTTACTTTATTGTGAAATGTTGTGTCGTAGGTCACCAATAAATCTTTGTCAGTTTTTAACTACTACACTCAGCAAAAGAAAGTGTCAAAAGATTTATTTTTATGAATATAACTTCCACTGAAACTGGTTATATGTATAAAATGGAACTTCCTGGTCAACAGTTAAAATTATTCAACTTGTATGACAAAATTAAAGAGTATTTGTTTGTTGTTTTTTCACAACAATGCCCAAAAAAAAGTTTGGAAATTTCACAATGTAAAAGATGATAGAAAAAAGAAAATCAAAAACAAATGAACTTTCTAAAACCCCAAAACTAAACACTATTTAATAAGTTTTTACCCAAATTCATGGTTAAGTATTTCCACTGTGTGATGAAAAATAAAATATCAAGAAATGTCAGTGTCACCAGAAAGGTTTAAACTTTCACACCACATGTTCTAAAGTTCTCCTCTTTGTTTGAGATACGAGGATATAATGTGAGGATTTTTTTAACAAAAGTCTGATGTGTAACTGAACCTGGATGTTATCCTCTGTAGGCCACCTTCACCTGTACCAAGCCACAATGGATTATTTGACAGGAATAATTCTTTTGATCTCTCATCCTTGGATAGTCGATCAGTTAGTAAAAGGTCAGTAATTTTTTTTTGCAATCTTTTCGTCAAGTAATACCACTAATTAATACTTGGGAATTTAGATTTCGATGTATTCTTTTTGTTTACTAATTAAGTAATTGTTTTATTTAGAAGTTAACATTAACTGGTGATTCTTTAGTGTTTTTGCACAGTGATTCTGTAGCTTTTTTTTTGAGCCTGAGAGAATTTTTACGTACACAACACATTCAATAAATCATTAGTTCTATACATCTTCCACTTTCTTCTTACGATTTTGTAATTCAGAATTTGTTCCAATGTCCACACTCAGAGAAACTGAAGTTACTGTTTATGATGTGTTATCTTAAACAATACTTAAAATAGGGTAGATGACACAAGCATATTCGAAGGTGAACAGTGCCTGATAATCTGTAAATAAAAGCATACATTAAGTGTTTGAGCCAATATATTACTAAACAGAAATTTTTTTACCAACATATTCGGCACTTGTTATTTTAACATCATATAAAGTTTCGTTAACTGTTTCTAGTCCTCTGCCATTGTCTGATGTGAATCTACAACCAAGATAATGCATATCAAAGATGTTTCAATATACAAAACAGTAGTTGAGTGTGTGTGTGCGTGCTACTGTTTTATCCAATGTGATGATTTTATCCACTCATTTAAGAGCATTGAATTTGGTTACGATTGATGTGTTACGAGCTTAATGTATTAAAATATGTAAAATCTCAATAAGTACAGTAGATAAAAATTTAAACTATTTAAATGATCATTTTGATGAAAAGTAATTCAATATTTAGTCTTGTTATTTTTTTTGACAGAGCAATAACAATTTATAAATGATACATATATAGCAAGGCATGCACTTGGTCTTTTAGTTATGTAATTAAGTTAGCAGCCAAACATATGTACAGGTATTTCATTTTCCCAGTAATTTTAAAAGAATGATAAGTATTCCTTGTGAATTAAATCTGGCCCTCTACAGAAATGGTACATTGATTGGCTCAAGGCTCCCAAAGATATTATACATCTGGACTGAGAAGTCTGTTGACACTTAAAAGATGTTAGATATTCGGGAATAAATGTATTGTATGTACTGTATCCCCCCCAGAAAAAAATCAATATTATACATCTGGACTGAGAAGTTTGTTGACACTTAAAAGATGTTAGATATTTGGGAATAAATATATTGTATGTACTGTATCCCCCCCAGAAAGAAATCAATATTATACATCTGGACTGAGAAGTTTCACTTAGGTTAGTTTGTTGACACTTAAAAGATGTTAGGTATTTGGGAATAAATATATTGTATGTACTGTATCCCCCCCAGAAAAAAATCAATATTATACATCTGGACTGATTAGTGTTACTTAGGTTAGTTTGTTGACACTTAAAAGATGTTAGGTATTTGGGAATAAATATATTGTATGTACTGTATCCCCCCCAGAAAAAAATCAACCCCTGATTCAGTAACTTCTGTTTTAAATTACAAGTTTCCAGCCTCTACATTGTCGTATTTAAAGTTACAACCTTATTTTTCAATAGGTTTTGTTGTTGTTTTTCAGCCCATTACAACAACAAACTCTAAGTCTGGAATCTTCTCGAGTTGATGATGAACATCGACTTATAGCCAGATACGCTGCTCGTCTAGCTGGTACCCAGGTTGCTGTAAGTGCTACACATAAAATTTGTTATTTAAAAACTATCAAGCAGTGGAGTATGATGTGTTTATTAGTGACTAAATAGTTTTATAACTTAGACCCTACCAAGCTGAAACCTAATTCCTTTACTTGTAAGATAACTAAATTAACCTATTTACTAGTACTAGTGGTAAGCATGATGAGCAGAGGGCAATATTTCTGTGGTTGATGAGACTGGACAGCGTTTCTTTCCAATTATTAAAGATATAACATTTTCTATTGTGTTTTCTGTTTGAGGACCTTGTGTGAAAAAACTAACTCTTTTTGTGGTTAGCTTGAATTAGTCGGCCTTGTTTATCTGCAGCAATTTCATTCAACTAATCAAAATGTATAGAAAAGAGGACATCATCTTATCATCCAAATATAGATGCTGGAAGTATACCACACAATACAAGATTTTAAAAATTCAGAAAACGGCTAAAACATGATACCAAAAATATAATTTAAAAACAATGTTTCACCACTGTTAACGTGGCATCATCAGGTACTTATCACAACTAAACATGACATTGAAAATATAACCTTGAGATTGTCATAAGTATAAACCATACTCCTTGTATTTTATTTATTATTGGTCTGTATTTATTTTACATTTATTAACATTAGATTCTTGATAAATAGATTTAACAATCTTATTTTCACTATAATGTTCCAGATCTGTAAAATGTTGGTAAACATGTGGCAGAGCATGTCCATGTTCTACTATTTTAGTACTTAAATTCCTCCCAGTCTCCCCTCTTATAGATAGTATTACAGTCCGTACATTCTACACCGTTAACTACTTATTTCTCAATTCTAGTCAGTTTAATTCCAGTTTTTAAGATTGTATTCAACTTTTTTGTGTATAAAATAAAATTAGAAGTTTCTACTATTTCAGTACTTAAATTCCTACCAGTCTCCCCTCTTATAGATAGTATTACAGTCCATACATTCTACACCGTTAACTACTTATTTCTCAATTCTAGTCAGTTTAATTCCAGTTATTAAGATTGTATTCAACTTTTTTGTGTATAAAATAAAATTAGAAGTTTCTACTATTTCAG